AGTTAAGATTTATGACCACATCAATTTAATTCACACTCGGAAATGTTCTTCTAGATGGAGAGGATATGAACAGATAGCAAATTCTATCTTCTAAGGTAGCCATTTTCAAAGGGGAATGTGAAAAAGCACTCAGATCTGTAATTCATCTCTGGCAGAGCTTGTTTCTTGAAAGTTGGAGAGCCGGTCTGGTGCAGTGGTTTAGGTGTTGGCCTTGAAACAAGGAGACTGTGAATTCAAGTTCTGCCTTAGGCATGAAAATTGATTAGGTGACTTTGGACCAGTCATTTTCTCTCAGTTCAACACACTTTGCAGTTGTGGGGAAAAAGAAGGGGTATTAGGAATGTTTACCTCCTTGAGTTACATCTAAAGTAATAACGGCAGGGTAGGATGAGGCAAATGTTCTGGATTCAAATCCCAACACAATATCGAAGCTTCCTAGATAACCATACTCAATTTCACTCCTAGCTTGAGTAGTTGTAAACCTAAAACAGCCTATAAAATGCAACCTGTCCTTATATTACCATGCTGAGTTCTTTGAAAAAAGGTGAGATATAACCATGAAAAGTAAGTAAGAGGAGCATTTCTAGGCCTCTCTCTCTTCCTCGGGGAATTATCATTGTCAATCTTGAGATTGGGCCACCTTGCTTGCTTCACACTTATGGCAGCTCTCACTGCAAGGTTTGGAGCCCTTGTTTCAGATCTTATCCCTGTAGCTACTCCCAGCTCATGTGAAATGCGAGCTGTTTAGCTTGCATAGCCAGCGCCACATGGGATGTTGATCAAAAAGGAAATTGACTTTCCCAAGAATGCTTCCCACATTCCTGTTTGCAGGCATTGGACACCGAGTACAGAAGCTACAGTCTTATAAATCCTTAGGGAAGCAAACAGTTGGACAGTTCCTGGGAGAGTTCACCCAGTGGATAAGGTACAACTGTGATGAATCATTACGTCTCATTTTAATTAAGAGGAAAGCTCCGGCTGTCTCTTTGTCCAGTTTGGAATAAGGAGGAGCCTACCCCTCCCTTCTTTTCTCCTCCTGCATTTTCTTATGAGTTTGCCAAGGCTTCTTGTGTTGGGTGAGAGGGGGTTAAACTTTTCACAGTTTTTTTTTTTGTAATTGTTTGCAGTTCAGCCTGTGTGCAACATAATGAAAGTTTTTTAGCCATCTGTTGTTAAGCTGGCGGTGACCAAGGCCAGCCTATCCAAATAAAGTTTGGGTCCTGTTGTAAACGGAACCTGTCAGTTTAGCATAGCTTAGCTGACCTCCCCAGTGCGCAGGGCAGCTTGTGGTACCAGGCACCGTCTCTGTGTATTGCTTAGAAAGGAACTATTTGGAAGGACCCTGTTTACTTTTTCCACTTAGTGTTCCTCCCACCGGCTTGAGCTGGTTTATACTAAATCTTTAAACTGACAGTGTTTTTTTTTCCAGTGCCGAACTCTTTCAGTTGCCAAAAAGAGGAACTAAAAAGAGGGAGGGGAGGGAGGGAGGGAGGGAGAGGGGGATAAAAGGAATTTTTTTTAAAAAAAAAACTATAGGGGGAGGAAAGAAAGGAAAAACAATCTTCAGTCATTACCAGCAATATGGCCAACTGTCTTTTTGATTCTTCTTTTATATGTGTATTGGCATTGATTACAAAGAGTCAAAATACTTTCCAAAGTCATAGGTTGTTTTCTGTGTTACAATTGTTTGCAAAAGTATGTTTCCCATTTTCTACACTGTTTAAAACCCTTTCAGCAATTTCAGTTTGCACTTGACCAATATGTTACTTTTGGCATTTGCGCATGGTTTATACAAAAGGATTATTAATATTTAGTAATGAATTTTGATTGTGGATAATAGCTGGGTGTTGGATTTTCCCACTATTTTTGAAGGAGACCAGGGCCAAATCATTTATTAAAAACACTAATGGGTCAAGCAGAGAGATTTTCATATACTATATAAGAATTCTGTAGAATATCTAAAGACAATATATTATGTTTTGTGTCCATTTAATATTTTACTATGAAGTTACCAATTTTGTTATGTGTACCTGACTTGGGGGAGCTCAGTCAAATTCCAAGGTTGAGGTGAAGAACCTCGTTAAAATAAATCCACCCTAAGCCTAACCCTAACCCAAAGTTTCATTGTTTTCATTGTTCGTTTGAGTTAACTTTGTGTTTAATTTTTAGGGGAGGCGTGTACATTATGATTATACTAAAGAGATAATAGTTGTTAAGTGAATCACTGCAGTTGTTAAATTAGTAACACGGTTGTTAAATTAATCCCCATTGGCTTTTCTTGCCAGAAGGTTACAAAATGTGATCATATGACCCTGGGACACTGCAACTGTCATAAATATGAATGTTGCCAAGTGTCTGAAGTTTGATCACATGGCCATGGAATTGCTGCAAGGGTTGTAAATGTGAAAAAGATTGTGTCATGTTTTTCCCCCCAGTAACGTTGCTGTAATTTTGCACAGTCATTAAATGAACTGTAGTAAGTCAAGGACTACCTGTACTATTCCAATTCTTCATCAGGAAACTTGCCTTTTTATATCTTTAATTGCTTTACTAATAGTGCTGTTCTTCAAGTTTGTCAGATTTAACCCAGGTCACTAACTAAAACATGCAGGAATATATTTACAATAACCTGAATACTCAGAATGCTAACACTCAGGTTTGTTGCAGAAAATCTAATGAAGCTGTTAGGGGGTGGAGAAATCCAATGATTCCTGTGAAACAAACATGTCTTTTTTGTAATAAAATCAAAGTTCAAATTCTTCCATCTCTTCTATTTTACATTTTTCTCTGTGCCATCTCAGACAGATTATAGATGACTCCAAAAAAATAAAAAAACAAAACAGGAAAACAATAAATATGACAAATACAATAATAAAACTCCACATAAATATAATAAATATAACCGGTAGAATAATAGCAGTAGCATTCTAGCTTTCTTTTATGTTTATTCTGCCTGAAAAGACAGCAGAAGAGGAAGCAACTTTACAGTATTGCTTAGTTTTCCAACATCTGTTTAAAAATTATAAACATAAAAATGATGTTACTTTCATAGATCTTTAAGCAGTGTTTCATTTAGCTTTCCCTAATAAGCAATGGAAAAAAAATCTCTTCCATTGTTTGATTTCTTCTCAGAAGAAATATGAAACTCCCTTGCAGTTTAGTTCTGACATGAGTATCCCATATTTTAACCTTCTATATTTATTCAGAAAGGGGTGACAGACCTTCATTTGGGCCACCTGTTCTTTTAAATTTATGTATTCTTCATTTCAAGCCCTTCCAAGATAAGAGTTCCATCCCATTACATTGACCAAACAGACCTGCTTTGGTTTTGGTGTATGCAAATGATGCAGTCATCCTGTTGTGCCTCAGGTAAGTCTGAGAAGATGTGATAGGGCACGTAGAATCATAGGATTGAAGGGACTTTGGAGGTCTTCTAATCCAACCCTATGCCCAAGGCAAGAGTCCTTGTATCATTCCAGACAAATATTTGTTCAATCTTTTCTTGAAAACCTCCAGCAATGGAGCAACCAAAACTCCAGGAGGCAAGCTGGTCCATTCCATTCTCACTGTCTGTCAGGATATTTCTCCTTAATTCCAAGTGGGACCTCTCTGTTAACAAGCTTCCACCCATTGTATCTTGTCCTGCCCTTAGGTGCTTTGGATAATAAGTCAACCCCCTCATCTCTGTGACTGCCGGTCAAGTACTGGAAGACAATTATCCCATCCTCCCTAATCCTTCTCTTTGTTGGCTAGGCATAACTAGCTCCCTTAAGGACCATTATCATCTTTGTTGTTCTTTCTAGAGTCTCAGTATCTTTTTGGTCTCTTCTTGCAGAAAGAATAGCTTTGTCATTACTCATGATGAAATAAAAATAGTAGTATTCTCAAGAACTCCTGTTATACAATGGTATTTCAACCAAACTAAAGTGTGTCAGGCTCCTGGAGTGAATGGAGAATGACCAAATCAAACATAAAATTAGAGTAACAAAAGTTAAATGAAACCGTGTTGTAGACCATACAAAACTTAGATCATTATTAAACAATATTTTCTCCGAATTTTTCTCAAGTATGATGCTCAGAACTGGACAAAGTACATGGCCCATGCAGAAAAAAAGTACAAGTGTCTCCTGAGATTTGGAAGGGCTTCTGTTGTTCCATCCTAAAATATAATTTGCTTTTTTAGAAGTTATTGATATTTAACTTGTCGTTGCCATTAATATGTATGTTGTATGTATTAGTACCAGGTTAGATACAAGTACATGTATGCATGTACTTTAATTTCTTTTGTGTAAGTAAAGAACTTTGTATTCAGAGTAATTGCATTTCTTCTATTGCTTTCAGTCTATTTCTGTAATCTATAAAGTTTATTTTCAATGTTTTTTTTCCCTGTAAAGTTATCTATTCCACCCAGTTTTTTGTTAGTTGCAAATGTGAAAAGCATTTCCTCCAGCCTTCAGCCGAGTCAAACATAAATGTTGCAGAATAGTGGGCTAACAACCAGACCTTGTGGTACGGTATTTAATGCTTCATTGCAGTGTGATGAAGAATTGTTGACAAGTATTCTTTTAGTCTGGTTTTCAAGGCAGCTGTTGATCCATCAACATTCCATCCAATGTATACTTAACTAGCTTGCTAATCAGAATGTTATGGGGTACTTTGCCAAATGTTTTGTAAGATATATTATGTCTGTAATTGTCCCACGATCTACAAGAAAGTCAAAACAACCCAAAACACACATAGTCCATGTACCTTTCCTCTTTCTGTCATTCTTATTTTATACTAATTCCTCTTCTTGGCAAAACTGCGTTGATTTCTAATATTATCTGCATCATTTTTAAATAACAACAATAACAATAATAATACCTTGTTTTTCATATTAATGACTACAAATCCTTCTACTAATAGATACCACGTTATAGAACTGTGGATCCACAATGGTTAGAATGCAGTACTACAGGGTAATTCTGCCAACTGCCAGCAGTTTGATTCTCACCGCTTAAGGTTGACTCAGCCTTCCATTCTTCCAAGGTCCAGTAAAATGAAGACCCAGATTGTCGGGGGCAATATCCTGACTCTATAAGCCACTTAGAGGGAACTGTAAAGCACCGTGAAGTGATAAGTGCTATTGCTGTTATCTGTGATTTCACTCATTCTCCAGGATTGTAATAAATAACAGGTACAAGTTTGATGTACAGAAACAGATACAAATTTGGTGCATCAGACTACAAACCAGAAGACTCTGAGTTGTAGTCCTGCCTTATACATGAAGGGGGCTGGGTGTCCTTGGGCCAATCACTCATTCTCTCAAAGTAGTAAAGGAGGGACTTTTCCCCCCCAATAAATATGTTTGGGCCAAACAATGATCAGTAATTTCGTTTGGTGCTCCAAGATGGCCCTAGAAGTTTGAACTTACTGAAAAATCAGTAGTAATTCCCTGATTATATTTCTTTGAAGCTCAAGAGGAGTTGTCTTCAACCATCTTTTCATAGTTACTTGCTGGAATGCATATCCTTTTTTCATCGAAGATTATTAAAATAGGTGATGGGTAGTTCACCTTTCTTCTCAGTAATTAGTTATCACAAACATTAACAGTCTGGTGTAACTGCATTTCTTAGGAACAATAATGTCCTTTCTAATAGTTGTTTAAAGTCTCTTCTGAGGTTTTTTTTAATTTTATTTTTTAATGAGATGATTCGTGAGCCGAAGTATGTATATAATTCATGTGGAAAAGCATAAGGCACAGCTATATAGAAACAAATAATCTACTAATGTTGAGAATTTTTGCAATAATGTGACAATTATTGGTAAAAATTTCTCCTTCAGATTATTATTATGTGGGCCTGAACGTAATGCTGCTATTGCTGAAAATTACAATTTTAGCATATGGAATATACTTTTATTTAACTGCTGGATAATTTCACTAGATTCCACTTATAGTACCTGGAATTTAGGAAGCTATAACTTCTAGATGTGTTGAAGCAGGAATTGCACAAATCTTAATTGCACAAATGTTAAAAATTCAGGGTGGCTGTAAAATTATTCCAATTCAGTTGGACTTTATGGTACATTTTGATGGAAGGTCATATAGTTGCTGTTATATTTTCCAAAGGTCAGTTTTAGTTATCACTGCGGTTACCTCAACTTGTACAGATAATTGGTTATTTTTAGAATGCAATAGAATAACAGAGTTGGAAGGGATCTTTTAGGTTATCTAGTCCACTACCCTGCTCAAGCAGGAGACCCTATATCTGTGATGGCGAGCCTATGTCATACGTGCTGGAAGTGGCATGCAGAGCCATCTCATGCCAGCTGGTCTTTGTGCATTAGAAACCAGAAGACCAGGTGGCCTGCACACATGCATGCGCTGGGAGCTGCTCTTCTGGTTTCCGACACATGTGCATGCTTCGACACTCAGTGCCTTTTTGGCACATGTGGGCTCCCTTTTCAGCACTTGGTGCAGAAAAGTTAACCACCCCTGTCTTACACCATTTTTGATAAATAGCTGTCTAGTCTCTTCTTGAAAGCTTCCAACAATGAAGCTCTCACAATTTCTGAAGGCAAGCTGTTCTTGCTGTCAGAAAATTTCTCCTTATTTCTAGGTTGAATCACTCCTTGATTAGTTTCCATCCATTTTTCCTTCTCAAGTCTTCAGGTGGTTTGGGAAATACGTTAACCCTGTCCTCTTGTGACAGTCCCACAAATATTGTAACACTGCTATCATGTCACCCCTGGTCCTTCTGTTCATTACACGAGCCATGTCCAGTTCTTCATATTTTTTAGCCTCCAGTCCCTTAATCTTTTGTTGCTCTTCTCTGCACAATATCTTTTTTATAGAGTGGTGGCCAAAACTGGATGCAGTATTCTAGGTGTGGTATTAGTACCTCACATGATATTGACTGAATCCTTCTATAAAGGTAACGGGATTTTCAGTCCTGACCCTGTATTCAGGGTCAGTCAGTTCTTTTTGTTTGATATGAAATTAGAAACACCCAAGAGTTGGTGTATATTTTGAATATTGATTTATAATTTGCATGACTATATTTTCATATGGAGTGAGTAGGGAATACTCATGGGTATTCTTCATGTTATCACATGTTCTGCATGGAGCACCTAACCAATTGATTAAAAAAAGTAAGGTAAGATCTGCTTAGCATTTGGGATTTAAACGAGACTGAAGAGAGGGAGAGAGAAAGAAAGAAAGAAAGAGAGAGAGAGAGAGAGAGAAAGAAAGAAAGAAAGAAAGAAAGAAAGAAAGAAAGAAAGAAAGA